TACAATTGCTGCTGGCCCTCGCCAATGCAGTCATTCTGGGGTCCAAGTCCCGTGGGACTAGCGACCATATTTTACTGTTTCAGATTCGAGACTTCCTTTTCCGTCGCCTCCTACGACTCGCACTGCTACGGTGGAGGTATTCGACCCTTCTTCCACACGGGATATTCCCTCAGCTGGCTTTGGATCCTTGTTATATGGTGTCAAGGCGGATCAACAGAAAACACATTTTCCAACGTTATAGCTCAACAATCCTTCGACTGTTGCCTGGGTATTCGTTGCAGCAAAAACCTGTTTACAGGGTCGTTGCCTAGCAATGAACGTCTACTCTGGCTCCGCTATTCCAGCTTTCAGGTGTCACGTCACAATATAAAGCAAAGAAATAGATAAAATATAAAGAACTGTAAAAATGGTGGCCCCTTTTGCAGCCCTGCCCTCTTGGCTCTATTTGGGGAGACTTGAGAAGCACGGAATGGAATAGCGGGACATTGGCTACAGCTGCACTGTGGGAAGTAGTGGGGGATGACGCTGTAAATCTGATCTATTACAGTCCATGACTACAGGTCGTGTTGTCCGGTAGATGTTGCTTGCTGGTTGCTTAACTTACTCTTCGACTCTGAAATGGAGACAGTTCATTCCTCCGAAACATCCCTGAACTTCCATAGGCCTATAGAGCGTCACATCCGAAATGTTATGTCTCTTCAAAGCCGCAGCTCAGACACTCAAATCGAATACACGCAGTTACTGCAGGAATAAACACGAAATTTCCGTGTAGGTAGAGTCCGTATTTCTAGACATGGCCGTTCTCAGCGGAAGGCGCAGTTGATTTGGTGGAGTCCACTAACTCAGGTAAAGGCTATAAGATGTATGTAGTTTAGGTGGGGCAAAATCCCTTCCTCATATATGCAGGTGCAACCACTGCCCGGCTAATTTTTGCCGTGCTTCTCCTCGTATGTACCTCGGAGACCAGCTCTAACAACCCGGTCTTTAATTCAACATCAGAATTCGTAGTAACGCGAATACATCCACTGTTTCCCCTGCCAATTTCCATGTCACCAATTACTCCACATTCACGAATTAGGCTTTCATCGACGCTATGTAGTCTCAATGGTGGCAGCGTTACTAAATACCAAAACATAATATTAATTTATATTAATATTTTTTTCTATGCATTGGTCCTCATGCCCTTGGTTTTTTGTCCTGGTTTGTAGCATAAAATTTACCTCCTTTTGAATCCTAGTTCCACGCATGTGCGTGCTTTATCACAATTTTTATTGCATATTTTCTTGTTATCTCCCTCAGAATTAGCCTGGTCACCAGGTAATTAAATAGCTATAGTGAATTTGACAAGGGTTGTCCAGTGGATGAGATTATCTCTTTCTAAGGGAACCAACAGAGTAGGTGAGTAGGTGTCTTTCCTCTCCCTTCACCTGTGGCGAAACATTGTGCTTTATAGTTTCTAGAACACCCGACGATTGACTAAGTCCAAAACCACAGTAATTCCAAATAATATGACTTGTTACATAACTATTGTCGAATAATTCTCTGTTTTAATACATATTGCATTGTAAGCTAGGAGGGTGACTGAGAGTTGGGTGCTGTGAAGACTTCCTTTAGACATTAGGATCACAGATGGCCGTAAGGCTATCAGTTCCATGGACCGACAGACCTTTACTCTCCAGGATGATTCCTGGTACTAATTTTTGTTAGAGGCTGCGTCCACACCCGGGATATAGTGCGGTTGGAAGGATTAGTTAAACTGAAAAAAAAAATAAACCGCATTTGAACTCGAACCCGCGACTTTCCGACTTGCAGCATAGTGTCTCCACCAACTACGCTACCGCGTGCCAGGTTCTGACGGGTGAAAACACAATTTGACTCCGCCCTGCTACTGCATAGTACACCAAATGGAAGAGGAATCGTTTTCGGAAACTGGTATAACGAGAGACTTAAGTACACGCATATATATGTATAATGTATACCTCATATATTCATTCACCAAATCGACCATGATGATAGAAAGGCTGAGTTTTAGTTCAACTCTGATTCGGTTGATCGTCCAAGGAGAATTTAACACATTTTGCCTCCGTACATAACTACCGGTATCGTGCGCATGGTTCGAGGTGTTGAAGCATGTCTGCATGTCACTCAGTTACGCCAGTTTTAACAGCGCATGCTCCTACATCCGCCACACGACCCTCTGAATGCTCGTCTCTGCGTGGTAAATAGCCATATCACTGTGTATGCCTCCGAGTTAATAAGATGCAGCGTTTGTTTCGGATGTAGCAGCTAATTCACTTTACCAAAACTGAGTTTTAAATCCGCATCTGCCTCAAATTATTTCATTTCTGGTATTCCCAAATTCCTTCTTCCATTTGGTGACCACTAATCATTGTTAATAAAACCTCAAATCTCGTTAACATTCTTTTTCTGTCCGTCTTAAAAATGTAATACCACCTGATCTCCTTGTGTCAATGTTTTGTTTCCTTATTTCCGAAGATACGGAGGTACCTGTATACTCGCATCCTGCCGTCTGCAAAACCGATGTTTACCAGAGTTTTCTTAAGGTTGTTTTACTTCTCTCTTAATACTGGTTCGAATCCCCATGAACTCTACTATATATTATGTAGCATTCAGACTCACTGCTATGTAAACAACGCCAGTTGCTACGCAACAGTTTCCTAACACGTATCAATGGACTAAGAAGCGGTTTTCTCTATGCGATCCGTGGGAGAGCTGCGTGACGCAACAACAGAACTGTTAGAAGCACTGTTTTCTATGTGGTTTGTGCCGAGGTCTTACGGCAGGCCAAGTCTACAGAGTAGTTAGTTGTTGGTCAGTCGCCGGACAGTAAGGGTGTGAACATGAAAGTTTACGGATATACGGCGTTGAAAGGCGTTACAAAACAACAACAACAGGTGAAGACAGAGCAGACTGAGAAAGCTCTATGTTCTGTAGTAAACTGCCGAGTGTGTGAATTAGTGCTAGCGATATAGTTACATGTAGTTACAATCTGTAAATGTTCAATAAATTCAATTACCAATCCAAACACTGTTTATGGTCACTCATACACACAACAGTATTTATCATACGATATATCGTCTAATCATAATATAAGCATATGTCGCAGAACAGGAAGTGATACATGTGAAAGGGCTGATTTTTTCCATTTTGCTTATTTAAAATCAATATAACAAATCTATTTCTAAATGTAATAGCCATTTGTTCTTTCCGTTACGATCCTAAAACAATGACTACTTGAAATCCTTCACATTTTTAAGAATTCTATGGAAAAATGTGCATCGCCCTTTTCTATAGTTTGAAATGCAGGTCTGATACAAGTTTTTGCATGACCACTCTTGGTATTATAATTTACGTAGGTCTAAATATTGAATAAACTGGAAGATAAAGCCTTTTTTATAATAAACTGTTTAATTTGTTTAGCTTCTTCAGATTTGGCCTTATTAGCATCCCCTGAAATGCATATGGATACAAGTTCTGTGGGTTGTAAATGTTAAGATTACAGCTTTCCTGAATCTGATACAGTGCGCTTAATTAGACAGATACTCGCGGATATATATGGAAGGAAAACATTAAAATATTTTTTTCCGTTTGGCACTACAGCCCCAGTGGGCCTAGGCCTACCTCCATGAACTTCTCCGTTTACTTCGGTTTTTCTAGATCTTACACATTCGGTAGGACTCCTTGGGCGGGTGATCAGCTCGTCGCAAGGCCTCTACCTGTACACAAACACAGAAAAACGCACACACACAAACTAAACATCCATGCCCTAAGTGGGATTCGAACCCACGATCCCGGTTTCCAAGCGAGCGAAGATAGTACATGCTTTAGACCGCTCGGCTACCGTGACTGGCCAATGAAATATTATGGGGTAATTAATCAAATAGCGCATATAAAAATAAGCAGATTTATCGTTACATATTGGAGAGGTTTCGCAAAATTTTGCTCTTCAAGGAATGTTATATGAGATATGTTCTTACTATATTTTGGAAGAGAGATGAAATGAATTAATCTCAACGGAAGAGATATTCTGTTTCGAAATCATTTTGAATAGTAGCAGAAGAGAGAATATTGCAATTAGTTTTCCATATCTGTCTCTCTAGAAGAAATTGTTCCGTTTCTTCGCTTCCGGCAAAAGAACCGTCTCGAAAATCGAACAGAACTGAGGAAGAAGTAATTTTTCATTTGGACGTTGCGTGGTCCGACCCCAACCTACATACCTGTATCTCAATATAACTGTATTCATTTTATATATATAGTATATATGAGATGAAGTGACAGGAGGTTGGAGAAAACTGCATAATGAAGAGCTTCATAACGTGTACTCTTCTCCAAGTGTAATTAGAATGATCAAGTCAAGGAGGATGAGGTGGGCAGGGCACGTAGCACGAATGGGGGAGAAAAGGAATGCGTATAGGATATTGGTGGGAAAGCCAAAAGAAAAGAGACCACTGGGAAGCCTAAGGCGTAGGTAGGTGGACAATATTAAAATAGATTTTACAGAGATAGGATGGGATTGATTGGATTGATCTGGCTCAGGATAGGGACCAGTGGAGGGCTCTTGTGAACACGGTAATGAACTTTCGGGTTCCATAAAATGCTGGGAAATTCTTGAGTAGCTGCAGAATTGCTGGCTCCTCCAGAAGGGCTCAGCTCCATGAGTAAGTAAGTAAGTAAGTAAGTAAGTAAGTAACTAACTAACTAAGTATGTAAGTAAGTATATATATA